GGCATACTGAGTTATTTTCAGTTGAAACCAGGCCATCTGGGGTATTACGTTATGAGATTCCAGATTTTATTTAAGCCTTTGTTTTAACTAGCTTTTTCAGACACTGTTTTAGCAGAAGAAGTGGGAGTTGGGGACTGACTCTACTGTCTACCAATTTGGGTTAGAAGTTTGGGTTTCCTGCTCTTTCTCTGTTGACAGTCAAGGGAGGTGCTGGCTGGGGTTGGGAGTTCCCCACCAGGCCTCCAATCACACCTCTCTGCTGAGAGCAGCAGGAATGTCTTCCTACTGCTCCCCACATGACCTCCAGTGGCACCATGGGATAGGGATGTGTGCAGTCTCAATAATTGGTTTTATATTCTGGTTTGAATTCATCTTGTAAATTTATTATGGTTTTAATTATGTATAAAATTCATGTTATGCAAAACATAATGTGTCACTAGTTTTGTGTTTATATATATGTATTTAAGTGAATCAGGATGAAAATGTTTTGTTTAAAAGGGCTTTATACTTTACTCAAGTTTGAGAAACAGTGACATAGGAGACTTTGAGGCCCGGTTGCCAAACTCATAAGTACCTGGAGATGCTTGTTATTTCCAAACATATTCTCTCACCAACATGAAAAGATAGAAGGAGCTGGGGCCTCGACACTATGGAGCATCATGCCAGTTTGACAATCATTTCTTACAGATAAGAGAAAAACAAACCCCTATTAAGGGTTCTATTATTGCTGCTATAAGATATTACCACAAACTTATTGGCTTACAGCACAAATGTGTTGTCTCACAATTCTGGAGGTCTGAAGCCCCAAATCAATTTCACTGGCCCCAATCAATAAACCCAGCAGGGCTGGTCCCCTCTGGAGTCTCTGACCTTGCCTTGCCGTCTTCCAGAAGCTGCCTATGCTCCTGGAACTGTGGTCCCTTCCTTCATCTTCAAGATAGCAGTGAAACATCTTTAAATACCTTGCTCTTTGTCCTCTGCTTCTCTTATCACATTTCCTCTGACTCTGACCCTTCTTCCTCCCTCCTTTCTTCCACAAGACACTTGTGATTACACTGGGTTTACCTGGATAGTCCAGGATAATCTCTCCATCTCAAGATCCTTCACTTTATCACATCTACAAAGTCCCTTTTGTTGTGTAAATTAACATATTTATGGCTTCCAAGGATTTAAGATGTGGACATCTTTGGGGGCCATTATTCACCTACCACAAGGGGATTGCCTTAATTTGCAGTTGAACTGAATTTTAAATGATTGACCTTTCCACAGAATGTAAGCTCCACCATAGCAGGGAGATTTGTTGGGCTGTTCACCAATGTTTTCTCAGCTTCATGCCAATGGAGTGATGGTCACATTTTCATGACTGCCACTGCTGAGAAGGAGGCAGCCTCAAAAGGTTCTGGAGCATTCTAGGTAGAAGGAACAGCAAATGCAAGCCATCAGGCCAGAATACACTTTGTCTTCACTTTTATAATGCTGAGTATACCATTTTATGTGACATAGCTCATTTTATCTCAATTCTCACAAACTATCAATTTGTTGATATATTGGACCCATTTGAGACACTATTTAGATTCTAATCCAACACAAATTGGTTATCCCACATGGTTTCATTCAATATGTTTCTCATCTTTTGTATCTGCCTCTTCTTTTGAGTATAATTTAGTGTTACCTTATGCCTTCTTTTCTGACTCTGTAATTTAAAAAGTTTTTACTTACTATTAAATCAACATAAAAAACATTGTACAGGGTTCTTAAAAAATACCATGCTCCATGATTCAAACATTATTTTCCCTGGCAGATTTGTATGGTTAAGTGTGCAAACCCTAGAGTTATAGCACTTTATATTCATATGCTGACTTTGACACTCACTAGGTATATAACTTTGGGTAGAACACTTAGACCTTCTATGCCTCAGTTTCCTCTTTTGTAAAATGAAAATAACAACTGTACCTACCTCACACAGTTGTTATGTGGATTATATGAATTAATCTAATATACTTAAAACAGAGCCTGACTCATAGGAAACCCTGGATAATTGTTAACCATGGTTCTTATTTTCAACCCAACAATTTTTCTGACACATAATTTTTACCTAGTTTTAATCATAGGATACATAAAGCATGTGTTCTACTTTTTTCATTTAATGTTCATAAGTATTCCTCTGCATTTCTATTTTATTAACCTAGATACTACTTTTAATGATGCTCTGACATCCCATGGTATTGATACATTTTTCTTAAGCTATTATTAGTGATGATCTTATAAACATACTTTGTATATAATACTTTTTCTTTCTTTTGAATGATTTATTTACCGATTGTTCCCTGGAGTGTACTTTTTGATTTTGTGTCAAACATTTAAAACTTTTTCCTTCTATGAAGTTCCAAAGAAACAACTACTTTCAGCACATGATGGAAAGAGAGGCTCATGTATCATACCACAATGATGTCATCTTCACGTAGGACTAGATTCCATGCAAGACTGATAAGGTCTTCACTATTATCATCATTGTTGCCACTGTTCATTCATTCATTCAACAAATATGTATTATTCAGCTAGGATGGACCAAGTCCCTTTAGGTTAGGAAGAGAGTTACATAGGAAACCAGAGACTTACACAAAAGTGTGAGAAGCTTCAATACAAACACCATTTTATTTATAAACCTTCCAGGTTGATTGTGTTTGTCTTCTTAAGCACAATGCTAAGTCTATATGCAAGTTAAAAACAGGCATTTCCTTCTCTCAAAGAACTAAAATTACGTCAACCTGATATTGCTTACCTAACCCTGTAATGTTTATAGAAGCCGTAGGGATATCTTGTATGAAGGAAGTCCCTGTCTCTAAGAAGTCTACATAAAAGCATATAAATGCTTTTCTTCTGTATCTTAATTTTATTTTAAAATAAAGAAGGCAGAAATAATATTGTTTGAATCTTCTTTTTGAAGGCTAATTCTACCGCCACCATATTCCTTTTTCTGACGAGGGCCCATTGTAAAAGTCTGAGTTACATAGGCCTAAACTTTGCATTGTGTTTTCTATTAAAGCTATTGAACGTTTCACATAGGAATAACAAAGATTACATTTTATCTTTTTTAGCCTACCACCTCCTGAGTTCAGTTTTACAGCTTTTCATCAATGTAATTGAAGTTCTAGAAATGTCTGTCTTTGTCTCTATTTTTTAATCAGCCCTTTGCTGAAAACAGTTGCCAGTACTGTCTACCACATGCTTTAGGAATGATATACCTGTGGCAACCACTCACTTAAACTGTTTGAAAATGTAATGAACACTTTCTTCAGGAAACCGTACAATGTCATGGAAACTACTCCAACTATCAGTGATAAAGAATTAAGTTGTTCTTAGGTAAAGATGTTTTTAAGATCAGTTCTCTCTGGTTTTCTTGAGAACTAAGGAGGATAACATAGACGTTTTCCTCTTTTTTAATTTTAAACTTTATGAAGAGGTTTTCTGAGGGTCTGGGTTGCTGCCCTTTCAGACTTCATATTGAGAACCTCATTTCCATTAAGTCAGAAGCAGGAGCCACCAGAGTCACCAAGCTAGTTGCAGGCAAAGTGAGCTGGTAATCAGTTCGTTTAATCACCACAGTATCAGTTAACCTCTTAAGACAGTGGCTCTTAACCTTTTTTGGGGATAAATTTGATGAAGTATTTTTCTTGGGAAAAACCCACCTCCATCACCAAATTATATGACTATAACTTTCTCTCACTCTACACACACAACACACACACACACACACACACACACACACACATACATTTTTTTTTTTGCATATAATTTCAGAAGGTTCCTCACCTCTGCTCCCTCAAAAACACCTGCTGTGGGGGAAATTATGTCGAATACTAGTATTTGAATGGGGTAAGAGGCAGGAGAGAAAGGGGCTAGGAGGAGACAGTGGATCACAAAAGAGAAATTTTACTAGATCCATTCTGAATACAGGGTGTTAGATGCAAGGCCCTCACCAGAGTGAGAGAGGATTTGGAATCAGAAGGTCTTGATTCAAATCTGTGCCCTCTTCCCATCCCCACCTTTTCCTAAATAATTGTATGACTTCAGAGAAGTTATTATACCTCTCCAACCCTTGGATTTTTTTTTCTGCAAGATGGAATCTTGTCAGACTTCTCAAGGTCATTGTATGATCAAAGGAGAGATAATATAGGAAAGCATATTTTTAAGTTCCAAACAAGCATGAGCTACGTTACTTATTAATGCCCTTGCCATTCCCTTAGCTTCATCTTGAGGTAGACTGCCTGTCCTATTATTCAGCTTCAGCTCTTCAGAGAAGCCTGCAGGACCACCAGACCTAAGGGAGCCTGCCTAGCCCCATCACTCTCAGCTCCAACATTCCGCTTTACTATAGTCTGGACACTTCTCACATGTGCAGGGAGTTCATGTCTTACTTGCTTATTGATTGCTTTTTGTCTTTCTCCCCACACTGGAATAAAAAGCTCCTTAAGAGCAGAGCCTTGTCTTGTATTCCCCGGGCTTGCAGCCGTTCATGAGCGCGGTGGGCACTCATTGGTGAGTCGGGATAGCCGTCCAAGCACAGACTCCGGAGGAGAACTACCTGGATTTGAACCTCAGCTTTTCAATTTCCTAGTTGGGTGACCTTAGAAAGATTGTTTAACTTCTCTATGCTTCACTCTCACCACACGTAAAATGTGTGAATTCTGAAAACATGGACTTTATAGAAATGTTAATACATATGAAGTACTTAGAACACATAGTAGGCAAGTAGTAGGTCTTATTTGAGAGCTGTTTTCTTCTCTTTAATGAGTGAATGAAGTGTTATTACACTAATAGTGAGTACATATGAGCCTCCAAGTGAAGCAGGTAAGTTCTGCTGCCTCAGGTTTGACAGTAAATAGACTTTTGGTAAAACTCGTAGCTTCGCTCCACCGCACCGTGTCATCCACCTGGCCGTACCGCTTAGCGGAAGGGGCGGAGCGGTGCCTAATTCCGAGAGTCCCGTCACCCACAGGTGGCACTGCTCTGGTTTCTCCCAGGCCGGGGTTGTCCGAGCCCTCGCGGGGCAGTGTTCCTGGGGCAGGAGGCCCGGCCTGCTGAGGCCCAGCGCCGGGGTCGAGAACAGGAGGGACCGTCCTGCGACTTCCCCGCCACTCTGGGTGGGTGGCGGCAGCAGGGATCCGCGTCCCTCCCACTCAGGCCTACGGTCTCAGAAACGCCGGCCCGGCGTGAGAACCGGTTGCCGGGGACCAGAGCGCGCCGGGGCGGAGCGATCGGGGACAGGCGGGGCGGGGCCGGCGCGCCGCCGGCTCCGGGTCCGCCGCGCGGGAGGGACTTCGCACCGCTCGGGGCTCGGCGCGGCCAGCGCGCTCCAGCCAGGTGAGGACGCCGCGGGCGGGCAGGGGGCGGCCGCGGGACTGCGGGACTCCGGGTGGGGCAGGGACCGGGACACGCGCAGCGGGAGGGGGCTCCCGCAAGCCCAGTGACGCTGGCTGGACCAGAAGGGACCTCTCCGCTCCGCGCCGCCGTGAACGACCCCGTCCTCTCCGGTCCAGGAAGAAGGGGCAGGTGCGCGCCCCGGCGGAGCCGCGCCTTCCGGGCTGCGGCGCCGGCCTCTCCCGGGAGCTCCCGCCGGTTTCCCCTAGCGCCCCGGGGCAGAGGCAGCGCCGCGGCAAGTTCTGCGTTGGCTCGCGTCTCAGCGGCGCGGCGAGGTTGATTGCTCCTTTCCGACTGGGCAGCAGCTCGGTCTTGATTGAAAGTTGGCAGAATCGGCGCAGACATTCCACAGTTGCACGTGTCTGCGTGCCTCACCCCACCACCGTCACTTAAAAAAAGTGTGAAATTTTGTTTGAATCTTGAAGACAGGAGTTCGTTGAATACATGTATTAGAAAAAGTAGGGCCTTGACCTTGGAGCGCGCACTTTCCCTTGGATCCTAAATTTCCGTTTGTTCGAATTTTTTTTTTCATGGGAGACTAATAAACTTCGGAAACGGTCTCATCTAGTGCCATTCTTTGGAAACTGCAATATTTGATTAGAAGGGTTGATTTCAGTGTTAACTTGGAGCAACAGGATGGCTGGTGGCTAAGTGGATTTGCAGGTTATCCAAAATAGTTAAGGGTTTTGAGCATATACCCTGTATTTTTCCAGTGAGTGCCCTTTTTCCTCTTAGGAAATTCTGAAAATTTACTGTCTTTAAAGATGATTCTTCCTTAAAGAGCTGGGGAGGGAAAAAACCCAACAAACAAGTGGTTTCCCAAATAAGTTTAGGATTTAACACGTGACACTGGTAGCAGCTTGGCAAGAATCGCATGTAGTGTGGAATGTCATGAGTATATGGAGGGAGGTGTGTATAATTTTTTAATTATGTATTTGAAAGTATATTTTAGTTTTGTTACATATTCATTTAGGGAAGACCTATACCTTTGCTCATGTTACTGTTAATCTGGTTAATATATGACTGCTCTTGCCATCTGATGATGCTTACTGCTGTGTGTTTATGTTAATAATTTTGATTCTTTCCACAAAGGTGTGTACATTTTTTATTTGTGGAACTGTACAGGCAAGTGTTGTAAGCATGCAACTGTTCTAGTTGGTAGTACCTTTGCCACACATAGGTCCTTGAACCAAAATTTTCATGCCTTCCCAAATAGGAAAGAATATAGTACAGATTGTATGCTCTAGCACTTTCAACCTATTTACCTGCTTATTCTATACCCAGATAGTCATCATGTTTCCTCAGCATCTGGTTAACAATGGGAAGGGGATGTTTTATCAAATTGTGGTAAAGGTCAGGGAATACGATATTTGGTCCCTGAAGTTAATCTTTTTTTAAATTTTTATTTTTTAAAAATTTTGGTATCATTAATGTACAATTAATTACATGAGCAACATTATGGTTACTAGACTCCCCCTATTATCAAGTCCCCACTACATACCCCATTACAGTCACTGTCCATCAGCATAGTAAGATGCTATAGAATGACTACTTGTCTTCTCTGTGTTATACTGCCTTCCCCATGCACCCCCTGCCCTACATTATGTGTGCTAATCGTAATGCCCCTTTTCCCCCTTCTCCCTCCCTTCCCACCCATCCTCCCCAGTCCCTTTCCCTTTGGTAACTGTTAGTCCATTCTTGGGTTCTGCGACTCTACTGCTGTTTTGTTCCTTCAGTTTTTTCTTTGTTCTTATATGCGACAGATGAGTGAAATCATTTGATTCTTGTCTTTCCCCACCTAGCTTATTTCACTGAGCATAATACCCTCTAGCTCCGTCCATGTTGTTGCAAATGGTAGGATTTGTTTTCTTCTTATGGCTGACTAATACTCCATTGTGTATATGTACCACGTCTTCATTCATCTACTGATGGACACTTAGGTTGCTTCCATGTCTTGGTTATTGTAAATAGTGTTGTGATAAACACAGGGGTGCCTATGTCTTTTTGAATCGGGGATTCTGTATTCTTAGGATTAATTTCTAGGAGTGGAATTCCAGGGTCAAATGCTATTTTTATTTTTATTTTTTTTGAGGAACGTCCATACTGCTTTCCACAATGGCTGAACTAATTTACATTCCCACCAGCAGTGTAGGAGGGTTCCCCTTTCTCCATATCCTCACCAACATTTGTTGTTGTTGTTTGTCTTTTGGATGGTGGCCATCCTAACTGGTATGAGGTGATATCTCATTGTGGTTTTAGTTTGCATTTCTCTGATGACTAGTGATGTGGAGCATCTTTTCGTGTGCCTGTTGGCTATCTGAATTTCTTCTTTTTCTTCTTTGGAGAAGTGTCTGTTCAGCTCCTCTGTCCATTTTTTAATCAGATTATTTGGTTTTTGTTTGTTGAGGTGCGTGAGCTCTTTATATATTTTGGATGTCAACCCCTCATCACATATGTCATATATGAATATATTCTCCCATACTATCGGATGTCTTTTTGTTCTATTGATGGTGTCCTTTGCTGTACAGAAGATTTTAGTTTGATATAGTCCCACTTATTCATTTTTGCTTTTGTTTCCCTTGCCCGGGGAGATATGTTCATGAAGAAGTTGCTCATGTTTATGTCCAAGAGATTTTGCCTATGTTTTTTTCTAAGAGTTTTATGGTTTCATGACTTACATTCAGTTCTTTGATCCATTTTAAGTTTACTTTTGTGTATGGGGTTAGACAATAATCCAGTTTCATTCTCTTACATGTAGCTGTCCAGGTTTGTCAACACTACACCAGCTGTTGAAGAGACTGTCATTTCCCCATTGTATATCCACAGCTCCTTTATCATATATTAATTGACCATATATGCTTGGATTAATATCTGGACTCTCTATTCTGTTCCACTGATCTATTGGTCTGTTCTTGTGCCATTACCAAATTGTCTTGATTACTTATTGTGCCTTTGTAGTAGAGCTTGAAGTTGGGAAGTGAGATCCCTCCCCCCTGCTTTATTCTTCCTTCTCAGGATTGTGTTGGCTATTCAGGGTCTTTTGTGGTTCCATATGAATTTTAGAACTATTTGTTCCAGTTTGTTGAAGAATGCTGTTGATATTTTGATATGAATTGCATTGAATCTGTAGATTGCTTTAGGCAGGATGGCCATTTTAACAATATTAATTTTTCCTACTGAAGAGCATGGGATGAATTTTCCATTTATTAGTGTCCTCTTTAATTTCTCTTAAGAGTGTCTTGTAGTTTTCAGGGTATATGTCTTTCACTTCCTTGGTTAGGTTTATTCCTAGGTATTTTATTCTTTTTGATGCAATTGTAAATGGAATTGTTTTCCTGATTTCTCTTTCTGCTAGTTCATTGTTAGTGTATAGGAATGCAACAGATTTCTGTATTTTAATTTTGTATCCTGCAACTTTGCTGAATTCAGATATTAGTTCTAGTAGTTTTGGAGTGGATTCTTAAGGGTTTTTTCTGTACAGTATCTTGTCATCTGCAAACAGGGACAGTTTTTCTTCTTTACCAATCTGGATGCCTTTTATTTCTTTTTGTTGTCTGATTGCCATGGTTAGGACCTCCAGTACTATGTTGAATAGAAGTGGGGAGAGTGGGCATCCTTGTCTTGTTCCCTATCTTAAAGGAAAAGCTTTCAGCTTTTTGCTGTTAAGTATGATGTTGGCTGTGGGTTTGTGGTATACGGCCTTTATTATATTGAGGTACTTGTCCTTTATACCCATTTGGTTGAGAGTTTTTATCATGAATGGATGTTAAATTTTGTTGAATGCTTTTTCAGCATCTATGGAGATGATCATGTGCTTTTTGTCCTTCTTTTTGTTGATGTGGTGGATGATGTTGATGGATTTTCTAATATTGTACCATCCTTGCATCCATGGAATAAATCCTACTTGATCATGATGGATGATCTTTTGATGTTTTTTTTGAATTCAGTTTGCTAATATTTTGTTGAGTATTTTTGCATCTATGTTCATCAGGGATATTGGTCTGTAATTTTTTTGTGGTGTCTTTGCCTGGTTTTGGTATTGTAGTGATGCTAGCTTCAGAGAATGAGTTTGGAAGTATTCCCTCCTCTTTAACTTTTTGGAAAACTTTATGGAGGATGGGTATTAGGTTTTCTCTAAATGTCTGATAAAATTCAGCAGTGAAGCCATCTCATTGAGGAGTTTTGTTCTT